AACGGGTTTTTGCGGCAACGAGCCACGCTAGGGTTAACATTCCGAGTATGCTAACCACTATGCTACTCTCGGCTCTAGATATAAGCAGAAGTTTTAATTTGAAAAAAAAGAGAAGAAAATAAAACACTGAATACTGCATAGTTTGTTACTTAAATCTAACATGTTTATAGAATAAAATTATATAATTCATTATTTCCATGTTGTATGAAACCCTCTAACACCAAATAGAGTTGAGAGAACGTGCGATGTAATCTAAGTTCGGTGTGAATCTTGTATAATCCGAACAATGCCACAGGTTCTTTTGGTAATAAATATGACATAGAAATAAATTACATTTCTGCAAGATATTAAAGCAAGAAAGCTGATGAAAATGATTTTTTTTATATTAATCAAACTTTCCAAGTATTTCATAAATAAATTTGGAGTTACCTTTCATCAACTATCTACATAAACAGTTACTTAACAAAATTTAACTTCCAGGCCTGGTGAGGCTTAATGGTTAACACGTCATGCTGGGTATCGAAGGAGCCAGTGTTTTAGACGTGATGCTACTAAATACTCTCTATACTTTGAACTGTGGGCGTGTTATAAGAGTTACAGTCAAACCTGTTATTCGGTTCAAGTAATTGAACTAAGCCTATGCGATGGCGGATGCTGCTGCAGCCAGGAATAATTAATAAAACAATAAGACCATCTATGAGTCTGAAAGTAATTTTTAGTTTGCTACGAATGGTGTTGAATAAGGAGTTAGATTCGTAATTGTGTATATACTATACTTAACTAAAATAAATTACATTCAGTTGAAGACTTCTGTGCATCTGAACAACGTCATATAAAAAAAAAACACTTTATTTTCTCTTCAAAGTTTTAATCAATTTATTCAGTATCAAATATGTTCTAAGAGTTTCGTTTTTACCATAATCTTGTACAGAAGTTATTAGAACTTAAACCTTCATGAACAAGTTCAGAAAGTGATTTATAAGAGTGTTTATAAAAAAATGTCCTGAAAAAAAATGCAAAAATTGAGTTCGTTGAGTGAAATTTTCGAAGTTCTGGCTGTTGTCTTTAACCTAAAATGTGTTGAAATGTAAAAAAAAAGAACAATTATTAATTTTTTAATAAACATCACACTTTATACATAAAAACTATAGTACATAATCTGTGTGTCTGTTTGAAGTTAAGCACAAAGATACACAATGGGTTATCTGTGCTCTGCCCACCACGGGTATCGAAACCCGGTTTCTAGCGTTGCAAGTCCGCAGACATACCGCTGTGCCACTGGGGGGCTTGTGTGTCTAGTAGGGCATAACTGAGTAGGGAGTATATGTCTACTCTGTAATAGTAGGAAGCCTAGTAAACATCTCCTGTTAAATTTTGCCTTGATAATTTTTGTTTTCTCACGAAAATTCTAGGTAATTCATTTACTGATTTAGTTTACGTGTAAGTAGAGCAGGTATAGTTATCGCGTTTCTTGTTATTGGCATTTTAGTGCAAAGCTCTGTCCTTCGTGAGGGATCGAATCTCGAATTGTAAGTCATACCGGGGTACTATCGTGTTTCTATCTTTGTAGATTCTTATACAGAATAATATTATTCCATTTCATTTTTCCAGCGAGCGATTGTTTTCGACTTGGAAAACAAGCGGCCATTAGTATGAACTTTTCACTTGCATCAGAGTGGTATCAAGAGGGATTATTCATCAAAGAAAAAGAATTCCAGGCTGTACCAGTGCTTAGCAGCTTTTTTAAGAAGGAAGTAGACATGGGCATGAATTTGGTGAAAGGCCTGATAGCCAACGGTCCTGATCTTGTAGGTAACCATTCCATCTAAAGCGCTTTTGTAACCATTTTATCTAAAGTACTTTTATAACTATTCTATCTAAAGCGCTTTTGTAACTATTCTATCTGAAGCACTTTTGTAACTATTCAATCTAAAGCACTTTTGTAACCATTCTATTTAAAGCACTTTTGAAACCATTCTATCTGAAGCGCTTTTGTAACCATTTTATCTAAAGTACTTTTGTAACTATTCTATCTAAAGCGCTTTTGTAACCATTCTATCTAAATCAGTTTTGTAACTATTCTATCTAAAGCACGTTTGTAACCATTCTATCTAAAGCGCTTTTGTAACTATCCTATCTAAAGCGCTTTTGTAACCATTCTATCTAAAGCACTTTTGAAACCATTCTATCTAAAGCGCTTTTGTAACTATTCTATCTAAAGCACTTTTGTAACCATTCTATCTAAAGCGCTTTTGTAACCATTCTATCTAAAGCACTTTTGAAACCATTCTATCTAAAGCGCTTTTCTAACTATTCTATCTAAAGCACTTTTGTAACCGTTTTATCTGAAGTAGTTATGTAACCATTCTTTCTAAAGCGCTTTTGAAACCATTCGATTTAAAGCACTTTTGCAACCATTCTATCTAAAGCGTTTTAGCAACCATTTTATCTGAAGTAGTTATGTAACCATTCTTTCTAAAGCGCTTTTGAAACCATTCGATTTAAAGCACTTTTGCAACCATTCTATCTAAAGCGTTTTAGCAACCATTTTATCTAAAGTACTTTTGTAACTATTCTATCTAAAGCAGTTTTGCAACCATTCTATCTAAAGCGTTTTAGCAACCATTTTATCTAAAGTACTTTTGCAACCATTCTATCTAAGGCGTTTTAGCAACCATTTTATCTAAAGTACTTTTGTAACTATTCTATCTAAAGCACTTTTGTAACCGTTTTATCTGAAGTAGTTATGTAACCATTCTTTCTAAAGCGCTTTTGAAACCATTCGATTTAAAGCGTTTTAGCAACCATTTTATCTAAAGTACTTGAATAGTTACAAAAGCGCTTTAGATAGAATAGTTACAAAACTGCTTTAGATAGAATAGTTACAAAAGTACTTTAGATAAAATGGTTGCTAAAACGCTTTAAATAGAATGGTTGCAAAAGTGCTTTAAATCGAATGGTTTCAAAAGCGCTTTAGAAAGAATGGTTACATAACTACTTCAGATAAAACGGTTGCAAAAGTGCTTTAAATCGAATGGTTTCAAAAGCGCTTTAGATAGAATAGTTACAAAAGCGCTTTAGATAGAATAGTTACAAAACTGCTTTAGATAGAATAGTTACAAAATCTAAAGCGCTTTTGTAACTATTCTATCTAAAGCGTTTTTGAACCAATTTTATTCTTACTTATGAAGATCATTTTATGCAAGATTGTACTTAATTATGGGTGTTGTACAGATCATTTGGTGAAAGGTTGTACTTGTCCGTTTGTGAACAACAACCCGGTATTATGAAATTAATATACGTAAACTATTAATTGTTTGAAACAGTCTTATTTGTGTTTACAAACTGTAGTATAATCTCAAAATATAATCTAAAATTGCAACTGAATCCTTAAAAGATAATCTAATGATAAATAGACTTGACTTTTTCATACGGTCCCTTTTTTATTAACATTTTCCAATTTCCTCATATCAAGTAGATATGCATATAAGGCATCACTTATTCGCAACGGCCTTATAAATTTTATATACAATAAATAATGAATCTTTAAAGATCACCTTACGCGATACAGACCTTATCTGCTGCCCCCCCCCCTAGTGGCACAGCGGTATGTCTGCGGACTTACAACGCTAGAATCCGGGTTTCGATACCCGTGGTGGGCGGCGCACAGATAGCCCATCGTGTAGCTTTGTGCTTAACTGCTACAATATCCATTGTCGAGATAGGGGCGAAGAAGGATCATGCTCCCAAGCACGTATATTAGGTTTAGGTTTAAACGAAATAAAAAAAAATTAAGAATTATTGATTAGGTGGTGAGTATGTAATACAAATGTCAAAATGCTAGCTAATACATTCTAGAATTTAAGAATTTCTTTGTAGATTATGAAGTGTTTGATAACCGAATGTTTCCTAATTCTAATGTAACTTTCTAGGAACGTCTACTGAGGAAGGCCATTGCACAAACTCCTACCAAAGTGTTAAACGTATCCAGTATTGCGCAAGGCATCCCAGCGCATTATTTTTCGGAAAGAAAAGGTATCGATTTATTGTACTTTCCTTTAGATATCAAAACACATTTTATAATCCATTCTGTATCATCATTATTTTCTTTTCGTTTGTTTTTGTTTAAGCGCAAAGAAAGTGCACAGTGAGGTATCTGCGCTATGACAACCGCAGTGATAGGGATCAATTTTAGCAATACAAGCTGCCAAGCTCATCACTGAGCCATCGGGGGGCTTATTAGTAAATGCTTATGTACTTTAGCTTCACTTTGACATACAGCTCAGGCAAAAACTTCTATGTTTGTAGTTAAGTGCAAAGCTACACAATGGGTATCGAAACTCGGTTTTTAGCGTTCTAAGCCTTTAGACTTATCGCTGAACCACCGAGAAGTTTAGGCAAACGATAAATAGACATATTTACTTCTCAATTGTTAGGTTTCTTAAGACAAAGGAGTGAGATTCAACAAAATCTTACTTCTTTGTGCTATGTTTGTTGAATCTTATGCCTTTGTTTTAAGTTTGTTGAACCTTAATTCTTTGTGTTAAGTTTGTCGAATCTTAATTCTTTGTGTTAAGTTAGTTGAATCTTAGTTCTTTGTGTTAAGTTTGTCAAATCTTACTTCATTGTGTTAAGTTTGTCGAATATTACTTCTTTGGGATAAGTTTATTGATTCTTACTCCTTTGTGTTAAGTTTTTTAAATTTACTTCTTTGTGTTAAGTTTTTAAACTTACTTCTTTGTGTTAAGTTTGTCGAATATTACTTCTTTGTTTTAAGTTTGTTGAATCTTAATTCTTTGCGTTAAGTTTGTCGAATCTTACTTCTTTGTGTTAAGTTTGCTGATCCTTAGTTTTGTGCTAAGTTTGTTGATCCTTACTTTTTGTGTTAAGTTTGTTGATTCTTAATTCTTTGTGTTAAGTTTGTCGAATCTTACTTCTTTGTGTTAAGTTCGTTGAATCTTAGTTCTTTGTTTTAAGTTGGTTGAATCTTTGTTCTTTGTGCTAAGTTTGTCAAATCTTACTTCTTTTTGTTAAGTTTTTGAATCTTACTTCACTGTGTTAAGTTTGTCGAATATTACTTCTTTGTGATAAGTTTGTTGAACCTTACTCCTTTGTGTTAAGTTTTTAAATTTACTTCTTTGTGTTAAGTTTGTTAAATCTTACTTCTTTGTGTTAATTTTTTGATTCTTACTTCTTTGCGTTAAGTTTGTTGATTCTTACTCCTTTGTGTTAAGTTTGTCGAATGTTACTTACTTGTGTTAAATTTGTTGATTCTTACTTATTTGTTGATTCTTACTTCTTTGTGATAAGTTTGTTGATTCTTACTTCTTTGTGATAAGTTTGTTGATTCTTACTTCTTTGTGATAAGTTTGTTGAACCTTACTCCTTTGTGTTAAGTTTTTAAATTTACTTATTTGTGTTAAGTTTGTTGAATCTTACTTCTTTGTGTTAATTTTTTTTATTCTTACTTCTTTGCGTTAAGTTTTGAATCTTACTTCTTTGTGATAAGTTTTTTGAATCTTACTCCTTTTGAAAACTTAAAGAAAATGTTTTACAGATTTTTCTAAAACTCATCATGGATTCATATGACTATAATACGTTGCTGAGGCTTTTTCAAGTTAGTCTTAAAGAGCACTACGTAAAATAGATGATCTTATATTTCCTAAAAAAAAATGATTAAAATTGTAAGAGGTAAATAAAATTTAAAAACAAATACTGATTCTTATTTCGTGGAGTTTTGTATATTTTTATATCTAGCAGCACGTGTCCAAGGTTAACATGCGCTACAGAAAATATAAGAAAATTATGTTTTACAGATTAGCACGTAGTACGTGAAACAAAAACGTGAGTTTTAAAAGAGTAAAAGTAAAAAGAGTAAATTTTAATATTTTTCAACAACTACAATTTCGCTAAGCTCGTGATCCTAGTAACAAACCCTCTGGTGCCACTTTGTGGATCTGTGATGTCATCGTTTCTACCGCCTCCCCTTGAGGTAGCCAATCAGCGCGCGATGTCTGAAATATCGAGATAACTACTACTCCCTAACATTATAACACAGCACCATTTATAAGTTATACTCTGTTCGTTTAATACAAGTTTGTGTACAACATTAATCATTTAATTTACAAATATGGCTCATTTTCCTAAAAATCCGAACCATTGGAGCATCCTTAATTAGGGCATTTTTCGATGTTCCTTCTCAGAAATTTCATTGCTGGTATAAAAGCGACTTCAGCGTTTCCTTGCCGAAATAAGTACATACATTTTAGTAGCTTTGAATAGATACGTTTTTGTTTATTAACAATTTCACGTTATTCATTTTAATCAAACTCGATTAAACAGAAATTGATATATATATATATGTATTTTGTCTTCTTAGAAGACAAATCCATCCATGAACATATCAGGATGTGGGAGAGTTACATTCGACTTTGTAGGGGAGAAGATCTAAGGGTATGTTTGATTTCTTAAAATACTAAGTTATACTCGTAGTATTTACGGTTTCAACACCGAAAGCTGATGAAACATTAGAAACAAATAGGTTTTGTTTGTTAGTTTGAGCTTAAACACAAAGCTACACAATGGGCTATCTGTGATCTGCCCACCACGGATATCGAAACCTGGTTTCTAGCGTTGTAAGTCCGCAGACTTACCGCTATGCCACTGGGGATCAAGAAATAGGAAAAACATTTGTGACAAAAATCACTTAAACTAAAACTACCCCCCACCACACACATTTCTATTAATTTGTTCAATATGGTATGGAGACAAAAAATTGAAGTTTACGTACCTTTTTTCACAAGTTGTAGGGCTATATATTTATCATATTTCATAGCAAAAACAACTAACCAGCCCAAAACTAACATACTAATAATTTTTTGTTTGTTATTAAGCACAATGCTACACAATGGGCTATCTGTGCTCTGCCCATTTTGGATATCGAAACTTTTTTGTTTTAGGGTTATAGGCCCGCAGACTTACCGCTGAATCAACAGATTATCACAGTTATGCATCTACTGAGTTTAGTATCATTGCTGTGTTCACATAACGTCTGGATACTATGTACCTTTTGTTTTCCTTTTGATTAACCAATGATGTAGGAATTATTGTACACTAAGATGGATAACGTTATCATTTTTGTGCGTTTACTAACTGCCATGCTCTTATCAGACTAGAATAATTTTTCTTCAACCTAAGATAGAAAATTCAAACCACTCTTTCTGTCAGCTAGAAGCGTCGTCTATCGTCAATGCACTTGTTCGCTTCGATTGTTTAAACTCAGTCAAAGTTAAAGAAATTCGTATTAACTCCGTAGTACATTTCCTGACTTTCCTCTAGCTATTGTGGTTACTATTTTCATCTGTATTTTAAAGTAGTAGAAAACGGAAGAATTCCTTAATAAAAATATTAAAACTGCACTCAGTGTATGTTTTTCTTTCGTCTTATGGTTTAGCGAGTAAAACGTACGTTTCTTGCTTATCTTGAGATTGAATCACCATAATTATCCTATTTTTGTTAACTGATAACGTATTTTATACTTTAATATTCAGGGTTTTCAAAACGTTCATTCAAGCTAACAAATTGTCACACAGTTTCTACAACTTTCGAAATGTTAGGTTATTTAGTGTCATATCCATGTTTTCAACTTTTGAATGAAAAACGTTGCCTTAGTCTTTAAAACATCTTACTGGTTGGGGACCGGGTGTGACTAGTCATTCGCACTCCCAGAATGTAAATCCGAAGTTTCATGGTTCACGACCCTCGGCCGCAAACACGCGCTCTGCACTTTGGGGCAGTAGGTACGCTATAAGAGTGACGGTCAGATTCTACTTTTCAATCAGAAAAAGAGTAGCTCAAGAGTTGGTGAAGGATGCTGTTGACCAGCTGCCTTCCCTCTAGTCTATCAGTTCAACAATAGGGACTCTGCGCAGATAGTCCTTGTGTAGCTTTTGAACGATATTTTGAAACACAAAACAACAAAGAAACATTCCTTATTGGTGGCTCCAGAAAAGGTAAAATCCGCTGTTGTGACAGCGGTATAACACATGAGCTTTAAAAATAAAAACGAGATCATAATGAGCACGTGCTTCGAATGATCTTTGACGTACATCTCCGTGTTATTCTTAATTTCTGAGGTTCTACCAGCTAGATGACAGTGAGACTATATACTTAAGTTCTAGAAAAAAAACCTAGCAGATTCCTTTTGATAGAAGGGGAGGAGGGGAATAGTTTGAATTTTAGAAAATAGCAATATAAAAGTAATTAAAGCTACTGTTAGGAGTAGGAAGAGAATAATGCAGTTACTAGGTCAGTCAGATATCAATGCACAAAGTAACCGAAGCTCAGTGGCTAGCGTGTCGAACTGAGGATCTGAGGTTTTGTGGTTAGCGACCCTTTACCGCGAAAAAAATTAAAAAAATCGCACGCACTTCATGGGCGCGTTCTAAGAGTGACGGTGAAGACTTACTATTCGGTCTGACAAGAGCATTCTAAAATGTGGCAGTTTGTAGTGTTAGCTAGCTGCCTTCCCTCTAGGCTATCACTTCGAAGAATAGTCTTTATTATTAAAGAAATAACCCAAAACAGATTCACGATTTCAGATCTGAAGAGATCCGGCAGAAGTTAAGCCTTGGCTGCCAATCACCAAAAACGTGTTTATATTGTTTTTCTCAACAATATATGTTTCCTTTATTATAGACAGTTTTAAAATGCCTTTGTTGTTGTGTTACAAGTGTAGCTGTTATCAATGCTACTCAGTCTGTAAGAAAGCAACTCCAAAGACGCGTGTCAAAGGGCATTTCACATTTCACAGTCACGAGAAGCTGCGTTGCTCTAAAAATGGCTGCTTGTGCTACAGTATAAGTTAATTATGGCTATATAACTTTTGTTTTGAGTACATCATTGATTTTTATGTTTTAAAATTATTTTTCATTTTATTTAAATTTTAATTTAATGTATATATGTTATAAAATAACGTTACTTTAGTTTTTCAAAACCCTTTATTCCAGTTGCCATATTTTTATTTACTTGTGTTTATCTATTTATTTGGACGAATGTCCTTCTGCTTTAAAATAGTTCAATCCCGTTATTACGTAGACACCGACATAACTTGATCGCTAGAGTGCTGGTAGCACAATCTGCGGGTCGCAGAATTGAAACACGCTGCCGAACATGATTGCTCTTTCAGCCATAGGAGGCGTTAAAATGTTATGGTCAATCCCACTCTTCGTTAGTAAAGAGTAGCCCAAGAGTTGGCGGTAGGTGGTGAGACTAGCTGCGTTCCCTCTAGTCTAACATTTCAAAGTTAGGGACGGCTATAGCGCATATAGCTTTGCGCGAAATGTAACAAAACAAACACTGCTGCCCAGATTTTTAGTAGTTGTGTAACAACGTCTTTAGTGGTTGTGTAACAACGTTATGTATGTATTCTAAAAAAAATCTGGTTAATATAAAAATACACGTAAGAGGTCGACCGATTAAAATGTCATTGGAATTCGCTGACCAGGAAACGGTTTTATATGAGCAAGAACCATGAAGGATATTCAAAGTTGAGGTCATCTCTGGATGCCACTAATAAACGTAGCAATAGTAATGGTTAAATTTGGAGAAATATAAAATAGTAGAATTATATGTATTTGTGATATGACCAATCGGACATAACGTTTACAATCTTCTGTTGAGATGATTTGGATAAACAACTTAGACAAGTGCTTCCATTATGATTACATTTTCCTAAATATCGTTAAACGAGTTAAGGAAGAAAAAACAAGAAGCCATATTTCACAATAAGTCATGAGCACTTTGCACTTTTATGTGACATTGTAGAACAATTCTCAGTATAAAATGTTTAATTTTATCCTAGCAAACAACAAAAAAAAAAAACGGAAAATGCTTTTATCAAGAACATTGTGATCCATTACAGTTAGAAAATGTTTATTGTTTAATAAATTCTAAAATATTTTATTAGGGCTATTTTAATTCATATTGTAGTATGAGGGATGTTAAAGACTCGAGTACCCAGAGCAAATTTAAAATATGGACGCCCCCTCTGCAAGGGCCATCTCTGAGCTGGTACGTCATTGATGTCAGCTGTCAGGGTAGCGTTAAAAATATTTGATATTTTGAGGGAAACTTATTTTATATGATTCGAATTCTTTGTTTTTCGTTGATTTCTTTTCTGACTCAATTCTATTTTTCCCAGTTTTCATTAAACAGTAACTTATATTTTGAGGGGACCTTTTAAATTGGGGGTTCCGGGCAAAATGCCCCAACCAACACTCTTTGATTTATTTAAGTAATATTTTAGACCAGAGAAATGCAGTATACGTGTATGAGGTTAAATGAAATGCTAATAGAATATTACACTTCTGTTTGTGTAGTCACACATGGTGAAAGCAGGTTTAAAGTGTGTTCACATTTCGGAATACAATTCAGCCAATTACTTCAAGCCGTTAAAAATGGAAGTTGTTTGGACGGATCCTCTGATCGCACTTTATCATGGCGTTATTAGAGAAAAAGAGATTGAAACTCTGAAGAAACTGTCTATGCCAAAGGTAATATTTATATATATATCGTAATTGTTTGATATCCTCGAATTGTGATAACAATGAAAATCTCCAGATCAGAGTAACTCTAGAATACACAGGAGGGGGTCTCTTGAGCCAAGCCACCAATTTGTTTTTTTTGGGGGGGGGGTATATTGCTAACTGTCTATTTGTTAGTGAGCCGGTACTTATTTTATGGTTATTCTCAATTAATTAGCCCTAAAAATATCCAGGCAAATTAAACGCCTTGCGTTTGGTATTTCATTTACTAAATTGAAAGTAGTCTTACCCGTGCATCCTAGCGTTAAAAATCATTACAAGGCGCTCTTAACCCAATAAGAACGAAGGAGCTTTTTTCTGCAACAGAGAGAACATGAGGATAGCCAGTTCTTATGTGATATGTATGTAAAATTATACGATAATAAAATACTGAGAAAAATATGATAAAAGGTTCGTTGTTTACATATTTATTTTTACAATTTTAAGAATGGCAAGATCATCCGCATAATAACATAAAAATGAATAATCGTCATAATCACCGCTGGTAAAAAAAAGATATGAACTAGTTTTATATAAAAATATAATATGTATCATGTTAACTTATGTAATGCTTTTCATTTAATGTCATGTGAGATGTCGATTTTCAAATCAGCATTTTTTAATGTATTTAACACTGTTAGTTACAAGCGCAAGAAACTGCCAACAAGACGTGCAAGTACCTTGATGAGAACTTCCACCACACCAGTAAAATGTAAGTGATTACTCGGCTGTAAAATGTAAGTGATTACTCGGCTGTAAAGTGTAAGTGATTACTCGGCTGTAAAATGTAAGTGATTACTCGGCTGTAAAGTGTAAGTGATTACTCGGCTATAAAACTGCTTTATTTTATACTGAGAAATCGGGATTATAGAATGCAATAAATCATTTGTTGTACTTATCTACACGTATAAGTAATACTACTAATAAAAAACTTTTAAAGACCTGTAGATAACTGTGTCTCCCCTATCACAATACATATTAGTTTCACTTATCTACACACATAAATAATACTACTAATAAAAAACATTTAAAGACCTGTCGCTAATTGTGTCTCCCCCTATCACAATACATATTAGTTTCACTTATCTACACACATAAGTAATACTACTAATAAAAAACTTTTAAAGACCTGTCGATAACTGTGTCTCCACTATCACAATACTTATTAGTTTTCACTTATTACTTCTTCGCACAGCAAAGATAAACAGAAATATTAAAGTATAGAGCTTACTAAGACAATGAACTGCAAATATAGTATTTTTATTGACATCTGTGTTAATAAGGGTGTTTTTGTTATAGCCACATCGGACTATCTGCTGTGTCCACCGAAGGGAATCGAACCCCTGATTTTATCGTTGTAAATCAGTAGACTTACCGCTGTTCCAGCGAGAGACACGTTAATAAGAAATAAATAAATGTCTCTACATTGTTATTCCTTTTTATTTTAGGTAATGAATTATAAAAAAGAAATTTTGAAATTCTTCCCGATGATAATGTTTATTGGTTTAAGAATATCCGCGTACTTTAAATCTATTGCTAGTTATCCTTTAAACAAGAGAAAACCATATATATACTTAGATTAATGCTTTTTTTTTTGCAAATTACTTTTTTAGCACATTTCTAGAGGATACGGAGCACCCCCTTGTGGTGAGACTATCGAAAACAATTACAGCCATCACTGGTATGGAGACGCATGGTGCTTTACAGGTTTCGTGCAAAATTTTAGTTGTTGTTGTTTGTTTCAAAATATTGTATGAACGCACTATCTAATAAGTTATTGTGTTTTAATTCTATAAAATTATTTAGTAATATTTATGTAGTTTCTACATTGATTTTTTGTTTGACGATATATGCATTGTATATCTGAAAGGTATTCACAGCTTTTTTTTATGATTGAAATATAACACCGTGTTTTAAAACAATACTTATAGAAGTAAAATGTCCCCCAAATACCCCATTCTCTAATTAACCAATCGTATTTCACAGTTTTATAATGTAAATAATTACTTTAAGAGCGAAGAACATGCAGAATGACGTTAAAAGGTTGGAAGTAGGAAAAGACGATAAGTAATGTCAGTATTTTTCTCTTAGTCCCTTAGGCTTAGGTTTATTGCTAATATTTTAGTGCATTCAACACTATTGGTAACTTTCGAAAAGCACTTAAAGCTATCTCTGTACAGTTCTTAACACTACTTTTGTAACGTCCTTGTCACTTTTTATTACAGTCCTCAACAATATCACCTTGTTCAATTTTATCACTGTCGCTTTGAAACAGGCTTCATCACTATCAAGTTTTTAACACTACACTTTTCATAGGACTTCACAGTCCTTACCACTATCACTTCTTCAATAGTTTTCTTCACTATCACTTTAATATATATATTTAATGTTGTTGTTTTAATACGGTCCTCATCATTGTCGCTTTGTACTTTTTATTATTATAGGTTTATAAAAGCTTTCGCCACTATCACAGTCGTTCTTCAATATAACGTTTCATCATGTGTAATAGGGACAATATTTAATGTTGGAACGTTTATTAACACGTTATAAAAATATCAAATTCGTTCTTATTTCTTAGAATTCTAGTTAATCTACAATGAAGTTTATTATAATCTGCCAATATTTGAAGATTTTAATTTTCTTTAAAGGTGGTGAACTATGGTTTCGGAGGGCATTTCGTCACACATGTTGATGATTCGAACGATGAGAAGGTAAGTCAATAAGAGTTTTATTGTATTAGGGAGAAACAAATCATTACTAGTTTCTATTTAAAAAAAATGAGCAGAAGTTTTCTGTTTTTGCTCCTGGACTGACATTTCGCTCTTCTTCAAAACTTGATGGCTTATAACGTAAAAATTTGGGGTTTGATTCCGGTGATAAGCACAGCGCGGTTAGTGTGTAGTTTTGCGCTTAGAAAAAAACAAACACTCGTCAAGTTTCGTATATCTTTTCCCAAGGGATTAGTAATTAATTTACGAGTTATTGCATTACCAGTATATTTTAGTTATAAATATTTAAACCATCTCTATCTCAGCGGTAAGTCTGGGGATTATAGCGCTAAAAATTGGGGTTAGATACCCGCGATTGATATAGAACAGATAATCCATTAAGTAGCTTTGTGTTTAGCAACAAAGCAAACTATATGTGTTTAAACAATAAAAGTTTCACTTCCTTATTCTGTTTAAACAATGTGAACGATTTAAAATAAACAACTACCGGTTATTAGAACATAGAACAAAACTGCCACTTCTAATCGTAGTTAAAGTAGAGGCAGAACGCCAACTTATGTTTGGTTTTTCTATACTCTTCCAACTCTGAAATCCAGTCTGGTCAATCGCATTTTCGGACTGTTGTATATAGGTAATAAAATAAGGCATTTTTGTTTACATCGCTGTTAATTGATTTGAAGATATTTCAATATAAGACAGAAGGTCTACTAAACTATTAACTTATTATTTCCCCATAGAAGCTGTTTATTAACGTACAAAGTTTAAAACGAAATATTAAAATACATAACACCCTGAAACGACTTCTGTTCACTACAGTGTTTAAGTTTGTTTGTTTTATGAAAATGTTGAAATCCTACAATGCGATTATACCACGGATGGCGAGTGGATGCTGTTGACTAGCTGCATTTGTTCTATTAGTTCAAAATAAGAAGTAATTATACGCAGTTGGACCTTGTTTGGCACAATTCTGAAACAATAAAACCAACAACATTTTTTTTTGTTAGTCACTAAGCACAGAGCTAAACAATGGGCTATCTGTGCCCACTACGAGTATTTTAAGGGCCACTTGGGGAGGGTAAAAAACAAATAAAAATATGAATTAGAAATAATAAAAAGCTTGACATACTTTTGAAAATTTTATTATTAAAGTTGATATGTAATCATTTCTCAACACATTTTTTGTTTTCATCCTGCCTTTTTTAAGTGTACAGAAGATTCATTTTTTCTCAGTAATGTTTCGTTTTAACCCAAGGTGAACCTCCAGCATCTATCACACCATTTTAAATAATAATTGTAAATCTATTTAAGTGCAATCGATGATTTTTTTTATGCTTTTGAAGCAAAAATACTTTTTTATTTCATCTACAGGATTATAGCAGTGACAAATCTGGAGCCAAAATAATGTTTTTCGTAAGTATTTGAATTCGTGTTGTTACAGTGATCTCAGTTAGAAAACATGTACAAATTGTATAAAGAGTCTACTATCTTTCGCTTAAAGAAACAAAAAGGTTTATTTAGTCCCAAGCTTTTGGACTGATGAATAGCCACTTGTAAAAGGTTAGGAGGAATAAAAGAAAGTGAATTGTAGTGAAGTCAATAATAATATTGTATGAATGTGCCGTGATAGCATTATCGTTGAAATGATAAACTCAAGATAAATATAGTTATTGCAGTTTGCATAAGAGTCATAAAAATGGGTGCGTATAAAAATGAATTATACACAAAATAAGCAAAAATACGCGCATATATATGTATACAATGTATGCTTATGTATACGTATATGTATATATATAAGTCTGTCTGCTCATTTAAGGCTTAGAGGTAGTAAACGATTATATATAAACATTGTGGTACATACAGCTAGATTTTGAGAGATTTTATTAGGAGCAGTGGGAAAAATTTCTATAAAACAACATATATATATATATGTGTGTGTGTGTGTAATCATTTACGTATTCTACGCACATATCAGAGCATTTAATACACTTTCATTTCAGTACTAGCCTACGTGCTTGTTCGATCCGAATGCCAACCTTTTCTATGTCCCACCTCGAGATGTCCTATAGGCGTTTTCGAAGTTTAGCAGAAATCAATAGAACAAAACAAGTACACATAATGGTCCCTGGGAGTGACAAAGGTAGGTTAGATCCGAATGTCAACCCCCTATGTCATTCTCTGAGGTTCTAGAAGAGTGCCTTCGAAGTTTGGTTGAAATTAATAGAATAGCATGAGGAAAACATAGAGGTTTTTTGACATAGTGGTCAGATCCGACCTCCAAGGGGGTGTCGGATCCTATCGTTGACTCCTTATGTGATTTTTCAGAGGTCCCTAAAGGTACATGTCAAATTAGTTGAGATTAATGAAAAACTAAAGGTGTGAATACCGGACACACTGTCAGACAAGGACTCCCCAGAGAATGAAGTGTGGGTGGGAAATCCAAACATCAACTCCCCTATGTCACTCCCGAGGTGGTCTAAGAGTACCTTTGATGTTTGGTAGAAATCAATAGAATAGCATGGGGAATACAAGAAGCCCCCTAAGGGTGACATAGTGATCAGATCCGAAAGCCCCCTCATCATGTCGCTCTCCGGATTGCACTAATGGTGCCTTAGAAATTTTGCAGAGATCAATAGAATAACACTAGGAACATATAGGGGACACGGGGTGGTGACACATGGTTGACAGATACGAAGGCCGACACCCTCTTGAGGCCTTACATGCATAATTTGGTCGAGATCTGTCAAAAATTATAGGCGTGAAAGGCGGACACACGAAAAGACAATGGCTTCCCCATAAAGTAGCATAGAGGAGTAAATTCAAATAATGAAATCTTCCCCCTTTCGTGATATTCTTGGTGGGCTCTAAAGGTGCATGCCAAGTTTCGGTCAAAAAAGTGTAGGTGTGAGAAGCAAAAAAACACAAACACTCTTGCCGTGTACGTATATATATATATATATATAGATAGATAGATAGACGGAGAAATATGAACTTAAAGAAATGTAACAGTCATATACCTTGCATCTCTCAACAATAAGTCCTTACTTAATAATGCTACCATCGCACGTTCATACAATGCTACTATTACCGCTCGCGCTAATTAAAATTTCAATAATTTACTGAAATAACTTATTGTTCATAACTTTGTTTAACCCAAATTGTAGTTTATTATGAAACATTTTTATTAACGTAAATAAAATAACGACCTATGTATCCAGCACGTATCTTTATTGGCTCAATATATCACCATTACAGTTTTGTCAGGAGCTATTGATAAACCCACAAGCTCAGTAATCAAGTTGAATTCAACCGACGAACCTTTAATAACGAAATATTGAGCCAATAAACACATCTTTTACAGATATAAGTCTGTCAGGAGCTATTGATAAACCCACAAGCTCAGTAATCAAGTTGAATTCAACCGGCGAAGCTGTAATAACGAAATATTGAGCCAATAAACACATCTTTTAGAGATATAAGTCGGGTCGTTATTCATAGGAAGAACTTGTCAAACTAGATAATTTTTTTTTATTAAATGCGAATTTTTCTTCACACACTGAATGAAAAAAAAAGAATCTATGAACGTGTTAACGTGTCGAAACGTTGTTTTTAAATGAAGTATTTTTTTTCAATCACATTGTAGCGGTGTGTAAATTTTGTAGAGTGCGGGATACCTCCAACATTTATAGTCCAACTTCTGTCAAGAGAATTTGTTGACAGTGACACACCAGGATCAGTGAATCAAATTAAATTTAAAGACTGTGATAATTCTTACATCGGAGAAAATAACCGACAGTTTTCAACAAGATTAAAATAACATTTAAAAGCTTCTTCTGGTGTATTTGAACGCATGGTTAAACTTAATCATTTTTTTTTTATTTTTGAAGTGTTGAAAGCATTGATAGAGAATATAAATCATAGAAAAATTATCAAAGAAGTTCTTTTTATCAAAAACCTAACATTAACAGATATATAGATGTAAATTTATACTTATTCACATTTCTTTGTTACTTACCTATTCTTGATTTTTGTTACGTTATCGTTTAGTTATGTAATGTAATAACTGACATTGTAAGACGATAGCAGCTTGAACTGTTTAAAGCTTGCCATCTGACGATACTGAGTAAACCTAACATTAGTGTTTTATTTTTTAAAACGGTTTATAAAACAGTTTATTTCTATATCCTTTGATAAAAAAAATGTTTTAAAACTTCAATAGTTATCTTAAGCTTACATTGGGCTGAAAAACACATTCTTCAGTGTGATATTTGTATACATTGTTAAGAGTTGATTTTCGATAAATTTTATGCCTTATATACTGATTGTAATTATCAATCTTAGCCTTTTAATTTAATAACTATAAGCTTATTGCTGTAAAAAAGAAGTAAAAAACTTTTTAGCCCTGAAAAATTATTACTTTTGGTATATCCAAGATAATTTTCACCAAAACCTCTTGTGTCAAGTTAATTAGGACGTCGTTAATCCAAACAAGTCTTCAGAACGGCAACAATAAAACGATTTCAGTTTATTTTATTTTTTCATTGTTTGTAATAAATTCTTCAACAATACACTTTGATAATAGTATTAGAAGGGAAAAAATGACCTCTACACTCCAAATGATTATAAGAGAACTTTTACATCAACCGACGTTTCGCTTTTGTCGCTTTTTCAGGGCTAGAACATAAAACTGTAATATCAAACACTTTTATGTAATAGCCCTGAAGAAGCCGCAAAGACGCCGTAACTTTGATTGAAATAAAAGTTTTTTTATAATCATTTGGAGTGTACAGGTCGTTTTTTCTAACCTTGTTATAAAAATGTGATCCCTCTAGTATACACTACAAATTCTGAAAGATAATAATACATTTGTTTTATGATTTTCTTTGCTTGTACTGGCCCTATTACTCAAGTCAACAAACTGTACACTATCAATCAAACTTAACAATCTGACGGGAGATGACAGAAGTCCTTAAACTGTTTCTTATCTCTCGTTAATTTCTTTTTTCGCAGCTCAATGACGTAAAAAAAGGAGGTTCTACGGTTTTCCCGAAAATTGGAGTTGGAGTCGTGCCAACAAAAGTAACTATTAATTTTCAGTCTAAAAGATATTTAATGCCAGTTTTACAGCACTGAAATTTCTGGATTTATAATATAAATAAAGAACTGAGTTATGATATTTTGAAAACTTTGTAGTCTTTAATTTTTTTTCTTTTTGGGGCAAAAATAAAGTAAAAACCTTCCATAACTCCATGGCTGTCAAGTGAACAAAGATACAAAGTTTACTTTAGAAAATCGAAGTTATTTGAATTCTTGTATTGGTGAAAATGAATTTATTGTATAACATAGTATTTTTATTTATTTTTTTATCAACATGCTGTTGTTTTATTTGATCGTTGTTTGGTCATGTGACCTGAGAGGATCAAATACAACTCGGTCTCTACCTCCCTCGTTGACTATTGATTTGGTTCTTAAGTGTTGGATGAAGCCCTCATTAATTACTCAGTAGAATACAGTCCGGTAGCTAGGAAAAATCTGTTCTTACATCATGCAGTCACTGCATGTGCGTAGTAATAGTTTTTATCAACATAACTTCATAATTGTTTGTTTTGAATTTCACGCAAAGCTACTCGAGGGCTGTCTGTTTTAGCCGTCCCTAAATTTGAAGTGATAGACTAGAGGGAAGACAGCTAGTTAACGTCAACCACCACCAGCTCTTGGGTTACTATTTTACGAACGAATAATAAGATTGACCGTTACATAATAATGCTCCTACAACTGAAAGAGGCGTGCATGTACGGTGACTAGTTGACCAGAAAGGCCACGAACTTCAGATTAACGGGTCATATTAAAAATTATGACACTACTTATCATTTTTTATTACCATCGTCATCAAAACTCGTATTTACACTCAAAAGTAAAATTATATTTTTACCAATGAAATACCAGATAAATATATAGTTCCAGATATCTAAAAACCGTTGCTCTTATTTGCAGAATTAGGTAAAGAACGAACACCAGTAGATTGACCTCTACAAGGTACATAATCCCTAAACAATAGAGTACGTCACATGTTTATAAATTCACGCGAAAACATTGATGGGTTGATTTTGAAAACCGAGGGATAAGATCCTTGAATTTTCCCAGAATTATTCTTTTCTGAAGCCTATGTATTAAAGTGGATTTCACGTTTTATCTATCTGGTGCTAACGAGTAAACATAAGTGTAAATGATATAGTTTTGTATGTTGCGTTTCTCACTGTTCTATCCATTTTTGAAAGTTTTAAGTCAGTCAATTCCAAAAGAAAGGCGTATTTGTTAGGAACTAGAAACGTATAGTATGTATAATGTGAAATTTATGATTTATTTACAGGGAGCAGCCCTTTTATGGTACGACTTTCCCCAAAATGGCGAAAAATGTGTTAGAACAATGCAAACCACTTGCCCAGTACTTATGGGAACAAAATGGGGTAAGGTTACTCAATATAGGACTAAATAGCAAGTGTAATTTGACTAATTTGTTAGTGTTGTTCTTTAATATAAATATGAAAAAGTTTATGACATTCGCTTTTACTTTCACTCTTATATAAATCAAATCTTAATAACTCTTATAAAAATATTTGATAAAACTCTGTAATTGAGAATACACAAGGATCAAATAATTCAAATTTTTATGATTTTTGACGTTATTTTCTGACACGAGCTTCCATTAAATAATTACTTTAATTTCAACGTTGTGCTCGTAAAGATTGACTTGAGGATTTTTGAAATCTAACTCATGCGTTCTAATAGTTAGAAAAACTTCAATCTGTACTTTTCTTTATCTCTAAATAAATAACACGATGAATCGACATTTCTTTTAGATATAATACATGTTAATTTGGCTTGTTTTTCAACTCGCTTAGTTTTTATTTAGAATTCGAAAAATTAATAATATTATAAAATTAATTAAGATCTAAAATTTTTTAACGCAATCTAGGATTTTTCCTGTAGCATTATTTACATACTCCATCAAAACAAAATACCCAGCCTCTTAATACAGTTTTCATTGTCTTAATAAAGAGTAATAGTTTTTTCCGAATTATGATAATGGTTCTTAATACAGTTTTCATTGTCTTAATAAAGAGTAATAGTTTTTTTCCGAATTATGATAATGGTTCTTAATACAAAAATTTTATGCTGAGCCGGTAGAACATGTTGATAACTTTTCTTTGTTTTGTG